TGAGTGCCTGTGCATTATATTTTCAGGGCACATGTGCGTAGGTAGTTGAGTGTATCTGCAAGTCCTTGTATTTGTGCACATTGTCTCCCTACAGTAAGTACATTTTGTGGATGTGGCCTGATGCATTCTTACAGCACATGTGAGTCTGAGTATTTTCAGATGAAATCCAGCCGGCCTGCAGCAGCACGTTGAGCTCGGTCATCGCGCGTCTCTTTTCTCTCCACAGCCTCCCTGCCCCTTCCTGAATTATTCATCCGTTTGGGTGAAGTAACACACATCTATTATTCATTCTGCCTCCCTGGTGTCATGCTACCCGTGCAGCTACAGTGCTGTGAATCCTGAAGGGAGCGCTGCTTTGGGCTCAAGCATGCCGCTTTAGCTGGCTTACAGTATGAAACACTTTGCAACAGTAGCCATTGTGGGGGGATTTGCATAAATTGAAAGGGAATTTAGCAAGTCAATGCTCCTCCAAAAAATGAGCGGCGTTGAAATAGAAAATGAGTTTAAATCCAAACTGAGATTTTCACCCATTTTCAAATTATTTTATGATGCTTGTTGTGTTTTCTGGCACCGAGGCGCAGCAGCTTTATGCTGAGCGGTTACATTTTGAAGGAGGCAGCAGTTTCACAGTGACGCCTACACTTGGAAAAATGTTTGCTGGCATGAAAAGCAATACTGTTTAATACAACTGAATTTCTTGGTTGCCCTTTAAAAACTTTACTGCAATTAGTGAACCTTCTGAGTTTCACCTTTGTACAAATACGTGAGGTGGAGAGCTGCTCTCAGATGCTAAAGTAAGTGTGATTTTTGTGCTTTTCCCTCCTCAATATATGTAAATAAACTCTATATTTCCATTTAGAGTTGAAGTCTACTTTCAGCAGCAGGTTGGATGTGTGTGGTTCACCTGCAGGAGACGGTGTAGTTAGTGTAAGTTGAGCTTCAAAGTTCATTTGTGACTTTGGAAGTATGAGTTCAATCAAGAAGACTTTGCTCTCTCTCACTCTTCTCTATGGACTATTCACTCTTTCAGTTAACCAAACAGGTTTTGTCACGTCCGCCATTAGCCAATCATATTGTTGCTCTCAAACTTTAAATATGTTATCACCCTCCACCTCCAACTCGTCGGTCAGAAGAATCACGTTTCTCTTCACATCCATCCATCTTCACTACTTCACTACCCTCTTAAAGGTCCAGTGTGTAACATTTAGGAGGATCTATTGGCAGAAATGGAATATAGTATGTTTTCATTGTGTAACTACGTGAAAATAAGAATAGTTATGTTTTTTGTAATAAACAGTTGTAATATATAGATGCCATTGTTCATTCCTTTTAAAGTCTCCTCTGATTGAACTGCTTGAACTCAACTTTTAAATCTACTTCATTGAGATATTCCAAAACTGGAAAATGATTTAGAGGTTGATGTGTCATGTCTCAACTTTATTTATAAATATGCCTAACACAGAGTAAAATAAACATTGTTTGACATATAAAAGAAGATGACAAAAGCTCCAGAGCAAGCTGCTGTAGAGTGAACCCGCAAGCTCAGTTTTTCAGCCAATATGAACAATAAATCCTAGAAGTGCTCAGAAAAGTGGAAAGTTTGAACATCTACAGCTCTGTGACAACTGGGAAACCTTAATCGGCCAATGAAGACCATGTGATATGGTCAAAAGAACCAGATTGTGAGTGTAAGTGGACCTTCAGTGGGGATTGTTTTCATAAACGTTTCCAAAGGTCAAGAACAAACTTAAAGTCCTCATTAATGTTTTGTGTCAGTTCCTTCACAGAAATTACTGCAGCCATTTCTCATATTGCTGAATTTGGCAGCTTTTTGCTTTTCATCTGGTCTGCAGCGGGTGAAACACATTATCGGTTGGACTGAGGTCATGTGGCTGCTGTGAACATTCCCATTTGGCCATAAAACTCTTTGGTAATGTTTTCTATATGATCAATGATTGTCCTGCTCCACTGCACTAAACTTCTAAGATTCTGCGTATAAAAACGGCTGCACAGCTCACCCAGTATGGAGGTCAACACTTTCAAATTAAAAGTGGAAAAGAGCCAAAATAATGGAGCCAAAACAGTAAAAAAGCATCACTTTCCTAATACTCTCTGCTTGCACTGTGGATGGACGGACTAAACAGACAGACACAGAAGATAAAACAGTGCCACGACACCGTCTGAGCTGTGTGTCTGTTTCCTCTGTATGATGGACATGTGGGAGGTTGAGGGTGTGAGGGGGGGTGAGTTATGGGTCCCTTCGCCTCCTCGCTTGGTGATGTACAGCTTTGACCCTGTTAAAAGCTGTGGAGGATACAGTTGTTCTATCAGAGGGTCATATGGGAGCTGCAGAACAAGCCATAAACTGACAAAACACACAAAAGTACAGAAAGTTCAACTGATGGCACCATTTTTGACAGATGTGTGAGAAACAGAGATATTTTTAACACTGTAGTCAAATCCATAACATCCAGTGTTTCTCTGACAATGAGAAAGAGACGAGAACACAAATAAAACCAGAGGTGGAAGTGTGTTTTTCTAATATGCTGCTCAGTGACGGCAGGCTTCACTCCCACATTTCTGTCCGGTAACGATGCCAACTGGGATCAGCAGAGTCTGACAAAGACTGAACGCTGCTCCACAAACCTGCTCACACCTCTGCACTCCAGCGAGGGGCCATATTTTACATTCAGTGCTCAGGTGAACCATTACTTCCTGATGTGTGCTGCACAAAGAAATGCAGACATTGAACTGTCCTCTGGCTCTGAAGAAGTGTCTCAACATGTCTCAGTCATTGTGTCCACTGAGTATCCTGTTTTAAAGGTCCAGTGTGTAACATTTAGGAGGATCTATAGGCAGAAATTGAAAATAATATTAATAGGTATGTTCACATTAGTTTATAATCACCTGGATATAGGAACTGTTGTGTTTTCGTTACCTTAGAATGAGACATTTTTATCTACAGATGCTGCGGTTCGCCATGTTGAACCTCCATGTTTCTAAAGTAGCCCAGAGCAGACAAACAAAACACTGGCTCTAGACAGAGCTTTTTGCATTTTTCACGAGTTTAACGACCACCGTAGTTTCTACTCCACACTTCGCAGCTCGTTCTCATTCCTAGGACATCAAATGCGGATGCCAGTGGTTTCCCGTTAGAAACTTCACCGCTAGATGCCACTAAATCTAGATCTTTTGGACCTTTTATTGCCTTTAATTGACTTGAACTCATAGTTGCTGCAACAAGGACTCAGCGTGGGTACATGGGGGCAACAGCTCCACCAGGTTAGCTACCAGGGTAGGCCGCCATGTTAAACCTGCATGTTTCTACAGTAGCCCAGAATGAACAAACCAAACACTCTTACATACTGGTCCTTTAATTTATCAGAATCAGAATCAGAACCAGAAATATTTAATAATGCCAGGGGGAAATGACTTTTGTTACAACTCCAGATATACATACAACATATAATATATTAAGAACATATATATAAATAAATATATAAATATATATATATATATATAAAAGGTAAAATGTACAGTTTAAAATGTGCAAAAAGTGCAAAAATGATTGTCTGTGTTTGAGGTCAGATTACAGAGAGGGGGTGTCTGACTCTCTGAGGGAGGCGCTGTAAAGTTTGATGACCACATGCAGGAATGATTTCCTGTGGCGCTCTGTGGTGCATCTGGGTGAGAGGAGTCTTCTGCTGAAGGTGCTCCTCTGCTGGGCCAGCGTGCCGTAGAGAGGGTGTGAGAATCCGAATCACAGAATTTGACTCAGGTTTTAATGATCCAATAAATTCAATGACATCTCAACACCATTTTTTTTCTACTTTCATTCAAACTGCAGCCAGAATAGTCTCATGCTCTGGTTTCACTTTCCCTGTTTTAACCTTGGAAAAATGCAGCATTTGTACTTGTCTTTGACTTGTTTTTGCATATTGTCCTTGTCAGACAAAAACCCACTTTTCCGTGAGAAGTTCTCTTTTTTTGAGAGGAAAACAACAAGTTTTTCCCTCATAACAGCATATATTTTTAAAATTAAACAGTAGGGTTTTAACAGGTTATAAGTACCCTGGAGCAATGAAACACTCAGCATATAAATGACTGTGTAAACTTTCAGAGCAGGTAAGAAAAGAGAGAGAGAGAGAAAAAAGACAACAGTTGTGAATGTTTTTGCTTGTTTGCCAGCAGGGAGATGTTACTCTGCAGCTTCAATAAAATCCCCCGCTGCTCTTACCTCTCCTCACACACACACACACACACACACACACACACACACACACACAGACACACACACACACACACTTCTCCCCTGGGGGAGCTCCAGCAGGTTCAGTGCACATTTCCATGATAGGAGTTGAAATGACAGCCGTGGGGACGTAAACGGCTTCTGTTTGCAGGGAAACATCAATCACGCACAATAGCCGCCTCCCAGGTGGCAGTGACCTCTGGTGACCCCGCAGCTCTTCCACACTTCCTCCTGGACACTTCCTGTGTGTGTGTATTTGTACACGTGGTATTTACACCGAAAAAAGCTACAAGCTTGACTGCTGTGCTCAGACACAGGCTCAGGTCCAGTTTGTTTTCTTTTCAGTTTTATCTGCTCGGCCAGATTTACTCCTGGCATTAGAATACCGACAGTGACGAAAGATGCGTCTAGATTTAGTCTCGATAGACATCCAAGAGTGGAAAATTACTTCCAGCCACAAGCCGACTGCTGGTAAATTCTCTCTGTGAGTGTGGTGGGTAATCAAGCAGTCTCTATTTTTTATTAGTGAGTCTTTTATTATGGAATTTTACTTGTAGATGGTCCCAAAATGCAGCAAGAGCTCTGCCAAAATAAAAGATACTCTGAGGCTCAGTAAAGAAGGTAATTGGATGTAAGGCAGTTAAGTTTATGACGCATAAACCCCAAATTACAGTAAACTCTGACTTATGTTTCTGCTTATAGCTCGTTTCTACTGCAAGAACTTTCCCAGGAAACGTTCTGCAAGCACAGATCGGACATCAGGACATGTAGGTGCTCAGCCACGGGAGCAGCATGCTTACAAAAATGATATTTTGATTGAATTAAGGATTTGCTGGTATAACCTGGTGCAGGCAGAAATGCAAAACCACCACAGTAATCTGATCCTTTCCTCGAGCAAAAATATCAATATTATAATGTAAAAATGCTCCATTACAAGTAAAGGTTCTGCATTTAAAGTTTGAAGTAAATGTGCGTATGGTAGAGTTATCTTACAAATATTCTTTATATCTAATACTGTGATCTTTTTCACACTCCTGCACAAACTCTACAACTTAAAACAATGGCTTTATTTATTTGTTTATTCATATTTTTTTTATTGTACTATTGTTGTGCGCCAACCAATTCAATGTATGTGACAAATCTACATGACAATAAACCTGATTCTGATTTTCTAGAATGGCCCAGTGTCATCCTTATATTATTTTATATATTACATTATTGGATATTTTTTTGTTATTATTACCTTTATAGCCTACTGTTGAGTAGTTTAATTCACAAGATATTTTTTAGAAGCAAATAAAAAAGGTTTTGTATGCAAAATATCAGTCTGCAAAAAGAGTAAAAAGAACAATATTAGCATTTGAAATGTAGATTATAAGAATCAAGTACCAGAAAGTTAAAAGTATTTGAGTAAATGTAGCACATATAGATACAGTTTGACCGCTACTGCTATATTACTGCTCTAACCAATCATCTCTCATGTATTGATCAGTAAGGGGCGTGGCTACCTGGACCAGGTGTATTAATTGGCTTTTCCCTGCTGCAGAGGGAGTGTTTAGATTTAGCTTCTAGACAGTTTTGGAAAACTTTGGCTACAAGAAAGATATAAGAAAGACCCAAGAATATGTTTTTATTAAGTGAAGTGAAGGAACAGACCGTGGGAATGACAGTAACTGCCCCTTTCAACAGGTGAGAGCAGGGAGCTAAAGAGCCACAGCTAAACATATTGGACCGGGCTCGACTGGCCTGTAAACAAACACTGTTATTGATATTACGTCGATTAATTATTTTCCGTTTATTTCTCCTCTCTCAAACGTCTCGCTGCTATTAGAGCTTATATAATTATACTCCAGGTATATCGTAAACCTTAGAATATAAAAATTGTATTTGTTTACAGGCCAGTCGAGCCCGGTCCAATATGGCGGCGACGTTGACGTAAGATCCGGCGTCCAATGCGTCGTTACGCTTAAATTAACGTTAACGTAATGCTAGTTTAGTTAGCTTAACGTTAGCTACGTTAACTAAACGCTAATTAGCGTTTGAAGATGACAGCAACAGTGAAGTTGACCATGGAGCAGGACTTCTTCTAAAGGTACGAATCAATATTTCTATTGTGTTGTTTGTTTTTAAGATATTTATGAATATTAGCTAATTATTGCCAGCCATCTGCAGGTGTAACATAACAACCATAGGTAACGTTAGCATTATTTGTGCAGTGATTGTCGGATGCTCAGTAACATTCAGATAGAGTTAGCTGCTGTGATTGTCCAGCTTTATACCTCTGTAATAATGAGCTGCTCCTGCTGCTGGTTTGGGGGTATTTGTTTGACATGTGTGGATGTTTTTAGTGACCACAAGGCAGAGCTACCCCACAGAGCATCAACAGACTGTTTGTGTCTGTGTTTCCCCTCAGCTGTGTTCACTTTTTACCTCTCATCAGTGTTTGTAGTGGGGTTGCTGACATCATGTGTGTTTGTGCTGTGATGTTGAGCTGTCGGAGAGGTGTGTGGACCCTAAAACATCCAGGTTTTATGATATAAGACGAAGAAGACATAAGTTTGGGGATGAAGTGCAGTTTCAGCCTTCCAGATGTGCAGTTTCAGCCTTCCAGATGTGTGAAGGAGGTGACACCTGAATATGTGAACAGTGAGCTGGTCGGTATGATGGTCTCAGACTTTGGTGCTGGTTGCTGTGTTTTACTATTGTGTTATGTATTAAGTCTTGTTTTGAGTATGAAAGTGAGGGATGTGTACTTATTGATGATTAAATCTGGTTTTTAATACATTAGCTAATGGTAAAAAAAAAAAAAACCTACAACAAGCAGATGCCTGTGAAGCTTAATGAAGTGAACGTCCCTCTACTTACCGTAGCTGTTCACAGTAATTTCACAATAAAACAATGAAATGAAAAGTTAAAACAATTAGCAACTAATTTGAAATTGTATGAATCATATTTTCATTAGTCTGTAATATTTGATAGAAAATTGTTTAGAGATTAATGAATGAAAGTAATTAGTGTTACTGCAGCTCTAAAATAAATAGACTGGTCTACAGGTGTTCGATAAGCTTCATTATAATGAATTAAGTCTATTTATTGATTATCAAAGTACTAATAGATACGTCTTCAGCCGATTCACTGTTTAATTGAGTAACTGTTTCAGCTTTATATGCAAGTCATTGCTTTAAAAATCGTTTTTGACTGCTTGATAAATATTTTATATGTATTATTATAAACATTTAATTTATAAAATATCATCTGATGGGGCGTCCTGGTGCTCTAAGGCTGGAGAAATAAATACATTAACTACTCTGTCGCCCACACATGATGGCTGCCTCATCGTTGTTTGTGTACATCCTCAGAAATGAATGTGACGTGTCCGTGGCCTGGTAGAACAGCGAGTATATCTCCGGCTTAATGATTAAAGCTCCTACCATATCACTGTAACATCCCCTTGTTGCCTGTCGTACCCCTCTCTTTCTCCATATTATCCTCTCTCTCTCTCTCTCTCTCTCTCTCTCTACACTGTCAAGCCTCAAACAAAGGCACAATTACCTCCTTTATAGAATGCTCTCTGTTATTTGGTAATTCTTGAATCCAGCAGTAAGAAGTTTCCTCCCCGCAGGGCGCAGTCGAGCTCAGGTGTAAATCTGCGAGTTTATAGCGCTGTCATCTCACTTTCTCCCGGAGCTTGTCAGTTTGTGAGCAGCTGCTGTCAAACCCTGAATCACAATCTGCTGTGCGTCGCAGTTGGCCAGAACAATCAGGAAGGTTTTCACAGCCGGCTGTGTTAACGCACGTGTGCAGTTAAGTGCTGTTTATTCCGCCCACATGCTGTGTTACAGTAAAGAAAAAGTCAATTAAAAGGAGAAACAGAAGGTTATCTTCAATAAATCTGCTGCAGCTAGGACACAATCCAAGATAATGTAGCAGTATGAGAAAGTCAATATGGATTTTATTTTCTCTCTATTGAGAAAGCATTAGTTGTGCATCATGTGAGGCCGTAAATCTATCTATCATAGAGATCTTATCTTGTTGTTGTACGCTGAAAGGAAAACCTGCACGACTTTCCCATCATGTCATCATCAGTGAAAATAACAGCTCTGTTGCAGCATCGCAGCGGGAGGAGAGGAAGCTGAGTGAGGCTGAGGATGTTAGACGAGGAAAGGTGTTAAAACATCCAGAGATTAGCACAGACTCAGACAGGGCTTCATCTCTTAATCCCCGTCCTCCCCTGGAACTCTGCGAGACAATGACAGGGATTTGGGAAGTAGCTGTACCTGGTGCGGTGTACGGAGAGCCTGACAGGGTGCAGATAATCATCACTTCCCCTCCTGACAGGAAGTCATCCCCCGTCGTCAGGAAGTTCTCGGATCAAGCCGGGGCAGCGTGTCTCTTTTTTTAAAGCGCGGCTGATGACGGTCGCGGGAATCGTGACATCCTCAGGAAGTCTTGAGAAACACGCGGTGCTCGGCTTCCTGTCGGCAGCACTGTGGAGGAGAGAGGGGAACAATAAACCGAAGGAAGAAGAGTTTGAAAAGGAAAGGAAGTGAACGTTTCACCTCTTGATTGTTCATTTGCTCTGTGTGTGAACGTCACGAGAAATCCTTCACTGGTCTCGTTTCTAACACCCGGGGCTTCTCCACAACAGCAACAAATATATAATATATAATGTAAAATATAACTGAGCAGTACAAGCACTTTATTTATTTATTATAAATAAATGATGATGAAAGATTCAAGGTCCACTTACTTCACCAGCAGATGGTCTTTTTTTCAATTTGACATCCTTGTACACAGACAGGGGCTACCAAGTTTCATACTTTACGTCACGTGATGACAACTGAGCCGTCTCCATGACAACAGGCTCCATCCGCTGATGAAAACTGTGAGATGCAGATGAAAGCTCTGGAATAAGATGGGAAGTAGACAAGATAGAAAAACTTTTTAAACTTTCCATGAATATGAAAATAAATAAATTTGGTTTCATATAAAATGATATAATATGAACAATACAACTGTCTCCCCTCAAGGGCCACCCAGGAGCTGTTTTGGCCCACATCTTCATCCCTGTATTTCTGGGCACTTTAGTTCATTGTTGTCAGTTGAAACAGCAGGTAGAGACTAAACAATCTCACCTCGAGATCCATCATCCATTAAACAATGGACTAATATCGTAGTGCAAGACTTCTAATACATCTTTGTCTGTATGCAACCTCATTTTTCAATTTGATTAAAAATATCCTGAAATGAGCTTGACGAATCTGGACTGGATGTAAAATCCCTTGCTTAAGCTTGTAATTTCTTGCAGTGCCCACACACACACACACACACACACACACACACACACACACACACACACACACTGACACACTAATTCAACGGGACAGACTGACTGAGTGAGAAGTCCTCTGAGGCGTGTGAGTGAGCAGGCCGGGTGACAGATGAATATGTCAGAGACGTCGCTCTGAAGACGCTGTCTGCTGCGGACTGCTGATTGTGGCGACGCTGAGATGTGCACAAGAAAAAAGACAAGATTGGTATTTTGTCAAGGAAGCCAGCGAGTCCAGCTCCATCAAGGTATTCATGGGTAGCACGTACCTGGGAGAGAGTCGGGGTTTATAAAGATACAACCTGAGCTCGTAACGTCGTGTTTGGTATAAAAACCAGCAGGAGACAAACGCTGAATAAAGTCTGGGTTTTATCTGCGAGGGGGGGGGGTCGAATGAGCTTTGTTTTCCGCCTGTAATGAAAGAGGATCCACACTAGAGCCTTTTAAAGCTTTCTCTCCAAATATGCATGAGATGAATATTTCATGTTTCACCAGGAGGGCAAGCAGGGAGCCGGGGGGGGTGTATGTAGCTGCAAATGGCTAAATGAGCCTCCCCCCTCCTCCCCTTTCTTCTTCTTCTTCCTGTGTCATCGTCTTAAATGCATCCACACCTCCACACTCCCTGAGGGACACAAGTTGTTGGACGCGACTTGATAGAGCTGTCACTTCACCTGCACCTCCTTGTCAAATCACCCTGTCACGCGCTACTTAGCGTCACGGCCGGCTAGAAAAGAGTCAGGAGTGGGGTCAAAGGTCATCACAGCTATTTCTGCTGAAGGACGGTGCAGACGTAGGTGCTGTATTACACTGAACAGAGACATGGAACAGGAGGGAGAGTAAATGTCGCTGTAAGCTGAACTGTTGTGGGTAGAGGTCAAAGGTCATTTTATCTGAAGAAGAATCGCCTGTGCAGTCAGCTCTGTTTTGCCGTTATAGCGGAGGAAAAGAGAGCCGACAGTTTTAGTGTCGCTGATACAGTTGTTAACATCATCTGAAGTTGTGAGTTGAGGTCAAAGGTCATTACGACGTGAGCACTGCAGTATTTTTTCTTTTATCTCCAGCGAGGACGGAGGGCGGGGTGAAAGCTCGAGGCTCGACGAGGGGGCGTTTTTACGGGGACAAAGTCAAAGGTTGTTTTCTGTAAAGGAACAAAAGGAGTTCATCTGTAGAAAAGTTGTTTTATTTTACATAAAAACATATTAAAGTTTCACAGAGGGAGAAATGTGGCAGCAGACTGCTGCTATAATCTGAGTGGTGTCCACGATGGAGAGGACGAAGGAGGACGAAGGAGGACGCTCTGAGCATCAGAAATAGACAACACCATGTGACTGCATATAAGAAATGCATTACTGTCCAAAATTGGTTATAAAGACATTGATAGTGGAAAGGATGTAAATTTTACAAGAGAAAGGTGTGTGTGTGTGTGTGTGTGTGTGTGTGTGTGTGTGTGTGTGTGTGTGTGTGTGTGTGTGTGTGTTTTAGTGTGGAAGACATGTATTGTATTGCCCATGTGTATAATGGAGAGTGTAGTGGTTGTTAACTCTGACTCACGAATGCTTAACTAGTGCTGAAACAATTAATTAATTAATCTCTTTGCTTGATAGAAAATTGTCCAAACAATTTATTTAATCAAGTAATCGTCAGGCCTCTTATGAAGAAAAAAGTATTTGCCGGCTGTATCCTCTCAAACACAGGGATTCACTGCTCTTCTCTCTTTGATATCCTTTTAAATGTGATATTTTCTGGTTTTGGACAAAACGAGCAATCGTAACAACTTTACCTTGGGTTCAACACGACAAGAGTGTACTTAAATCTGCTGAACTGTGCCTAAAATACACTCAAACATCTGAAATTGTACAGCATGATTTTGACAATACAGCTTTATCTCAAGGACCTCTTACTAGCTTGTTCTGGAGCTATTGATATCACACTTATCACACAGACTGCTACATCATATTTTTGTCTGTTCAATTTGCAATGTAACTTTAATTCTGAGCAACTCTAGGACGCAAGTAAGTGGATCTTGAGTTGATATGTTTGTGTTACCTGCAGCCCAAAATCAAGAATAAAGTGTCAGGCTCAACATGCATTTGAAAAAAAAAAAAAAAGTTTGCCTGATTTGTAGCTACGTATTTAGTACAAAGAACATCAGGTCTCTCCTACTGTATAGTGGAATTAACTTTATTTTGCCTTCTCTTACTGTGATAACCCATTGGCACATCCAGACATAAAATACTGTGCTTTTCTTCAAATCCAGTGGTATTTAACAGAGAATTTGCATCGAGAAAAGGAGAAATTATCACACCCCAATGGCTTCTCTCATTTTAATTGTGATAAAATAAACAAAAATAAAGACTCCAAGGTGAGGTTTGGGACCGAATCACTTAAGCTGAATATATTTTTCCTGTGTGTAACTAATAAAAGATTAAGATGCAGTCTGGATATGAGTCATGTTAGTTTATTCAGTTTAGAAAACATTTGCAACTTTCACTGATGAATCGTCTTGCACCTTTTTTCTTCCTCGCGTCTTCCCTGTAAAACGAACCTTAAATGAACTGAAAGGAAGCCAAAACACGCACCCCACACACACAAACTAGAGCACCCATAATTCCACAGTACCACGGTGACTGTGTGCAGAGGAGGCAGGCTTGACCCAGATGTCCCAAAGTGCCATTTACCAGGCGATAGCGCTGACAGACGGCCCACATGCTACGGCTAATTCTCAGCCATTAGTCTCCCACACATCCTCGCAGGCCGATGTGCTCATTTGGCACCCAGCGCTGTTTTATTTACGGAGCATTGTAGCCAGTAATTTGGCTTCCGAGCAACACTTCATCCTCTGAGCCGCCATCTGGACAATCATCTTTTACTACGAAAAACATTCACCTTAACAGTCAATCTTTTTTTATGAATTTACATATTTCATTTCTGACCTCAAGTGAAAGAAGTGACGCAATAAACTAATTTAAAGTTACTTTAAGGAAATTATTAAATAAGTCAGAGCTCTGTTTGTTTTGGTGTTTTCAATGTTTTTAGAATAAGGGAGACCTGGAAACAAGACTGTCTTAGCATGTTAGATACATTTTGCAGCACTGAGGCCTTTCACCTGAAGCTAAAGTCCTGGTTCCGACTTGAGGAGGGGTCCCAATGTCATTGAAGTGGGAAGAGAGTCTGTTTATCAGACTTTTCTCAATTTCTGATTTTTTTCTTGTGAAACACTGGATACTTTATCCTCCGAAGACTACTTCAAATCCTTCAAATGAAACTATTTTTTCTGGTTGACCTGCTGTTTTCCACAGTTAAGCCATAATATAGATGATAATGGTGATGCTGATAGAGTGGTTCGACTTTCCAAGGTCAATAATTAACCTCGCGGTTCGGTTGCGATTCTTTGGATCACGATTCGACGCGTGTGCAAGTCAACATTTCCAGCAATGAGGAGAAAGTTGAAACTATAGATGGAAAAGTTTTCAAAAGATTGTAGAAGAAGTTGTAGAATTGTAAAAGATTAGAATCATGATTCCTATATGAATCAGTCTCCCCACTCTTACTCCAGGGTCAGTGTCTGTTTCCCAAAGGCTTAAGAAACTGTAAACACACTATGCAGTCCAGTGTTTCCTCTAGGATGTTTTTTAGCAGTGGGGGCAGGCCTGTCCGAACAGTCCCCGTCCCCCCGTCCCATCACGCCAGCAAACGTTTTACGTATGAAACAGAACTGACACTTCGCCGCAACACAAACAAATATATTTACCGTTTTAAAGTTTCCAGATGTTTGATATCAGGACGTTGAGCTGAGAACTGACAAGTTGAACGCAGCGGTGACGTTTTTGGTGGAGCTGTTAGTTTAATAGCAAACGTTTTGACAATAAGCTACATCAACACAACAGTATGTGGAGGTAAACTGGACAGCCCCAATAACCTCTGAATAGTTCTACTTGTTGTTAAATTGCAATGTGAGCGGCAGCCAACAACGGTGCATTATGGCGGCAGGATCATTTAAAAGGCAACCGGGACTACATTGTGCATCTGCCCCATTTCTGATACTGTGGTGGCAGAAATTTAACAGCGGCAGGCCGCCGCTCCAAAATCAACATAGAGGAAAAGACTGCAGTCAAACCTATGTGGACCAGCCTGCCTATATACTCATTCATACTTTGTTCTGGGGCTGTTCTTCCTGTTTTTTGGCCCCTTGGCTCCATTGAAAAGAAATCTTAATACAATCTTTGAGACAGCAGTGTTGTTCCAACTTCGTGTCAACAGTTTAAGGAAGGACCTTTTCCTGTTTCAACATGACAATGCCTCTACTCACAGTCTGCTGTGGAATAACTCTCTGCACAAAGCCCTGACCTCAACCCCACCCAACACCTTTGGGATGAACTAGAATGGCGACTGCGAGCCGCTCCAAGATCAGTGTTCCTCACTAATTCTCTGGTGTCTGAATGAGAGCAAGTCCTGGCAGCCAGGCTGCAAACATTTTGTGGAAAGCTTGAAAACAAAAGAGGGGAGGCTGTTAGAGCAGCACACTTACAGCCATGCTTGTAGGAGGATGTTCAGTTATCACATATGGGTGTTATCA